GCCAAGGTCAGGGGAGGCCTGGTGCTTAGCCATGACCACGGGTCACCTGGTGGCCTCCCTGGAGCACTCCCACACCCTCTGCAGGTGGGGATTCTGGGGGGCAGGCCTCCCCTGGGAGGGCCCTGCCTGGACTTGGGGAAGGGAGTGGTCGAGGAGAGACTGCTCCTCAGCCTTCCTCAGCCTTCCTCCTGCGCTGGCCCCACCCCTCCAGAGAGGCCCCTGGAGGTGACCATGTGTGGAGACCATCCTGTGACCTGGGTGTGAACAAAGCACCGGGGGACCCTTTCTCTGGGTCCATGACAGGGAACATGAGTCCAGTGAAAGGGGCCCGCGGGGTGTTGGGGGCTCAGGCTGCTGAGGGCCGGCCTCCGTGGGTCCTAGCGCCCTCCAGTTCCTAAATGTGGGTTCCCTCTGCGGGTCTACAGCCGTGGCCCTCGGGGCTGGAGGGTGGCAGAGTCAGCCACCACCAAGACCTGTCCCTGAAGTTCCCTGGGCTCCTGCCCAGGCGCTCAGCGGAACACAGCTCACGGTTACCCCTTGGGCTTCGTGTCTGGCTCCTCCCAAGGGAAGAGGATCTCTCTGCACCCGAGAAGCCGCCAGCCCTGCCCGTCCACCTCTCTTCCTCCCAACCCTGGAGGAGGCTGCTGGAAACCTCCGTGCGTGGAGCTGGACGCCCGTGGTTCTCCTGGGACACTGTGGCCCTGGCGCCAGCCGCCAGGGGTTAACCTTCCCTGGCCTCCGCCCTGGCCGCCTTCCCCGGATGCTCTGTTCTGATTAGCACCGTGGAGGGGCCGGGCCTGGCGCTCGGCCCTGACCTCCGGGGCCTCCAGCAACCAGACCCCCGCTTTAGCAGATGAGGCATGGATGCTTTTTAAAGCTCTGACTGATGCGTGGGATTAAGCGGCACAAGTGGGTGGCCTCTGCTGCCCTCTTCCCACAGGGCCAGAGGGCCCTCTTCCCAGAATACAGTGTGGCCGCGTGGGACAGGGTCCTGGCAGATGCCCCCGGAGACCCCTCCCCTCCCTCAAGAGGGAGAGTGAGATGTGGCTGGTGTCCCCCACCCCAGAGCTGAACGCAGAGGAGCGGCCCAGGGTGGGCAGAGGCGGACACATCCTGCCCTGTGGGACTGTTGGCTGGGCGTGCGGTGGCCATCGGCTTCCCGGAGGCTGGAATGGCCTGGCTCTGAGGAGCTGCGGCCACTCCTTGCCCAGCTGGCCCCAGCTTCCAGCCAGTCAGCCCAGGCCCTGGCTGCAGTGCCCCCGGCTCTGAGACCCCCACCGCGGGGTCCAGGGCTCCCCTCTTTCTCTGCCTATGGGCTCGGCCAAGAGGGCGCAGCCAGCCAGCCCGCAACCGGGCGCGGCAGACTCCAGTCCCCTGAGCATCCCCAAAGGGTCTTTATGTGGAGCCTTCACATCGCAGAGGACTCAGCTCAGAGGACCCCGGCCACAGGAAGGTCCCTGGGATCCCCTCTTCCCCCTGTTCACTTGGGGTGCTGCCTGAGCTCGGATCTCCCCCCCCCACACACACCCCACCCCCCGGTGGAAAGCTGAGGGTCTCACTTTCCGGAGCTGTCGTCCCTCCTTACCCCTGATCCTGGAAAGTGACGCACAGAAGCAGCTGCGTCCACTTAGGAGCCTCTGGGGAGAAAATTCGAGAGGGTGAGAGGGTTTTTGGTCTCTTCTTCCCCTCGGCTCAGCAAGGACTGGGAGAAGAATGTGACCTGGAGCCTGCCTGATCTTAAATATAGCAGGGCCGGGTGACAATGGGTGGGAGCTGGGGGGAGGGGGAGGGCGGTCCTGTCCCTCGTGCCCGGGTGCCCTGTGGGACAGCAGCAACAGGTGGAGCCGCCCCTCCCGGGCTGCCTGGCTCTACCCCTGTTCCAGTGGGAAGAGCCAAGGCTCCAGCCTGTCATGTGGAAGTGGCTGGGGCTGGTTTTCCTGGCTGTGGGATTTCTGATCTGAACTCAACTTCTGGCGGGCTGGGCGCCCTGGGGACTGTGCTCAGCTTCTCTGATCTGATCGGATCCCCCTTCTAAAAATGAGCCGGTGCTGCCAGGCACCCAGGCTGCCAAGACGGTAGAGGGAAGGAGGGAAGGCGACCTAAATAGGCATCTGCGGTGCTCAGGGGTCATCCTGGCAATGGCGAGGTACTTGGCCTCTCCACCCTCCACCACCCCCACCACCCCTGGCACAGCCCCCCCCGCCCACTGTCATGGTCACGTGTGTGTGTGTGGGGGGTAGCTGGAGAGGAGTTGGGAGCCGGGGCCCTGTCCAGAGGGTGAGTGGGTCAGGAAGGCCACACCAGCTCCAGTCCAGAGAACACAGCTGCCTCCACTGGCCTCCTCCTGGGGCCTCCACCTATACTGTGGCCACCTGTCCTCTTCTAGAGCCCGGGGCCACTCCCTGGAGAGAGGAGCAAGTACCATGGAGCTCTTCGGCCCAAGTCTTGGCCTCCCTCTTCCCAGGGTGAAAAGCCCTTCCTAAACTCCCTGCTTCTGTCCCTCCCTCTGGCCACCGTGGGAACACCCAGTGTGTCCCAGCCAGGATGGCTTCCGAAGGCTCACACCCGATCTGAGGGCCGAGTGGGAATCTGCACAGCTGAGGCTGCTCCGTCCTGCAGGACAGGGCCATCGGCACCGGTCCTCAGCCCCCTCCCCTCCCAGGCGTCCTGCTGGGACCCACCAGGGTAGACACCAGCGTCAGGGGCACCCCACGTCTGGCTGTGCTCCCAATCTGTCCCCCTCTTCCTTGCTGGATGACCCTGGGCAGTCACATAGCCATCCTGGTTTCATGATCTGCACAGGGGGGACAATGAAGCCCGACTTACCGTCTGACTGAACTCGGAGCCTCCATTACACGTGTCCAGCAGATGTCTGCCCAACATGGGGGCTCCTCAGTACCCCTTGGCTGACCACACATGGGTGATGCACCTACTTGTCACTGGGACCTCTGTAAATACGGCCAACCCTCGGTCATGTAGCTGAGACAAGGTGACTTGGAGTTGCACAAACTTTGGTTTGAATCCCAAACTTAAGCCTCTATCCACTAATCAGGAGGGGGCCTTGGCCTTCTGGGCCTCAGTTCCTTTATCTGCAAGTTGGGATAACTTCCAAGATGGTGGGGACCTTGCCTGCCTGTCCTCTTTACTTTATCTCCAGCCCCAATAATAGTGCCTGGTGTTCAATGGGCCTTTGATTTAAGTTCCTTTAAAAATAAATGAATGGGGGTGTTGCTCAGTGGTAGAGTACTTGCCTCGCCTGTGTACGGCCCCGAGATCAATCCCTAGCACAGCAACAAAATTAAAAATAAGTAGAAATGAACAATGAACAAATACTGTCTTAACTCCATTCAGGTTGCTATAACAAAATGCCTTAGCATGGGTCGTTTGTAAATTACATAAGTGTGTTTCTCACGGTTCTGGGGCCTGGGAAGGCCAAGATCAAGGTGCCAGCAGACTTGGCGTCTGGAGAAGGCTGGCTCTGCTTCATAGCTGGTGCCCCTTCTGTGTCCTCACGGGACCGAAGAAGCAGAAGCTAGTGTGTTCCCTGAACCTCTTTTATGGGGGCAATCAACCTGCTGTTAAGGAAGCAGCCCCCATGAGCCAATCACCTCCCAAAGGCCTGCCTCTTAATGTTACTGTATTTGGGGATTAGGTTTCCACATATGAATTTGGGGGGAACCAACACTCAGACCAGAGCTACCTATCTTACAAAATGGTTGTGAGACTTAAATGCAGTAAAAAAAAATGTGTAAGATTACTGGCATCGTGCCTGGCTTATATTTCCTTCTTCCCCTCCCTCCCTCCCTTCTTTCCTTTCTTCCTTCCTTCCCTCCCTCCTTCCTTCCTTCCTTTCCCTGAACTTAAGACCCAACCTACAGTCACTCAAATGCTCCTTCACCGACCCACGACTCAGCCTCCAAGATTTTTCCAGAGAGCAACCAAACTGTCTTTGGCTGATGCCGCCACCTGGTGTCGTCATGGAGAACTGCCTGGCCGAGGCTTCCCACTCCATCCCGCCCATGGAGACAGAGAGCACATCCCTGTGGCTCTCACTCTCCAGTTGCTTCCAGTTAGGGTTCTCCTCCTTTCTACAGCTCAGAGCTGGCCTTCCTCGGGCCTCTCCTGTCATACCAGGGGAAGGGAAAGTGGGTTCAGACAGCCAAGGGGCCGAGCAGAGGGCTGAGGTCTCAGAGCCGTGCCCCCCGGCATCAGGGTGAGCAGGTAGGCAGGGGCTGTCTCTCTTCCCTGGCCCTGCCTGCCTCACTTTCTGTTTCTGTCCCACTATCTGGAGTGTAGAGCGGGGATAGCAACAGGGGACAAGCCTCAGTGTGACATCAGGTCATAGGCTGCTTGTCCTGGCTGGCACTCGGATGTGGGAGGGACACAGAGCCCTGGAGGAGTTCATCGCTGTTCTCTGGTGGAAACTCAGGCAGCCTCTGTGCGTTCCTGGAGCTGGGGCTTGTGGGGGGCGGGGTTTGTAGGCATCCCAGCCTCACAGCTCCCCACCCCATCCCAGGAGGTGACGGCTGTCTCTAGGGATGTGAATGGGGGCAGTTGATAGAGGTGCTGTTGGTGTGAGCGTACAGATCCCTCTGTATTCTGACTTTTTGCCTGTCTGGAAGAGTTCGTTGAGAATCTAGATTCCCCAGGAGCAGGGCTGGGCTGGGGTTGGGGCCTGCAGTTTTAGTAGCTCCCCAGGGGATTTTCATAATGAAGCACGTTTGGGAAACTGGCAGGGGCCAATCACCTCTCTGAGCCGCATTTTCCTCCTTGGCAAAACATCACCGATACCATGGAAGGGAGGTTGGCGGGAGGATGTGATCAAGATTGCAAACTGCTAGGTGACGGGGTTACAGTGATTTCCCCTTATCTGTGGTTTGACTTTCTGTGGTTTCTGTAACCTCTAGTCAATTGTGGTCCAAAAATCTTCAATGGAAAATTCCATAAATAGACAATTCACAAGTTTTTTTTTTTTTAATTTAAATTTTACTTTATTTTTTTTTGAGACAGTATCTTGCTACGTTTTCCAGGCTGGGCTCAAACTTGGAATTCTCCAGCCTCAGTCTCCTGAGGGATTATAGGTGTACACCACCACACACAGCTTAACAATTCATAGAATTTAAGTTGCTTGCTGTTCTGAATAAGTGTAATGAAACCTCATGCCATCCTGCTCCACATACCCAAGTGTGAATCCTTTCATTGACCAAGGTATCCGTGTGGTATATGCTACCTACCCATTAGTTACTTAGTAGCTGTCAGTTATCAGGTTGACCATCATGGCAGTGCTTGTGTTCAAGTAAACCTTATTTTACTTAATAACATTGTATTTTATGATTAGTTTTTCTTAATCTCTTACTGTGACTAACTTATAAATTAAACTTTATCATGGGCGTGTAATATGGGAGAAAAGTGTCTCTAGGGTTCAGTGCCATTTGTGGTACTCTAGAGATCTTGGGGTGCTTCGCTGGGGTCAGAAGAAACTCTGTATTCTGACTCATTTACTCCTGGGCTTGGCTCTGCCGTGACTGCAGGCAGGTGACACCTTGGAACCTGGGCAAGGCAGGGCTGTGGAGCTTCCTGGTAATGGGGTCAGAGCCCAGGACTCTCAGGAATGCCAGGGCCCCAGCCAGTTGCTGGGGTACACAAACACCCGATTTTCTAGGTGGTTCCAGCTTATCTATGGCCCTGAGCTGCCTAGGGGGTTGGAGCCTCAGGGAGGGGGTCCTGGAACTTGCCCCCTTGGTGGGGACCGCACCAGCCTGTGGAGGGTCGCAGACCCAAACCATCCACCTCTTTGCCTAGACAGCTGGACTTCTCCACCCCACAGGTCCTGCGAGTTGGGAGAGGTGTTTACGGGGCTTGATTTAAGAGCCTCTGTAGGGAAGGGGGTGTGGCTCAGTGGTGGAGCCTTTCCCAGCCTGGACGAGACCCTGGGTTCCATCCCCAGGCAAAACCGAACCAACCCCCAACTCCAACCACTTCGAAAATCACCTCCGTGGCTCCCTAGTCCCACCCCTGACCTGGAGACAACAATCCAGCTGTCCGCCTGTTTTTCACTGGTAAACAAGGTAAAGACTGGTAACCTTTGGCCTCGGGTGCCCCTGAGGGACAGGAAGTAGACTTATTTGCAATGTATGGGCCCCTGCGCTCAGCGATCGCTCAGGATGGCGATTCACCCCCTTCTGTTACAGAGATATCGAGCCAGTGACTCCGAAGGGATGTTAAATATTAATTTCACACAGATAAGAACACGCTGTCCGTCACCATGTCCCAGGGAGGGAGGGGGACACGAAGAGAAGGGAAACCTAGCTGGGTGAAGGGAAAAGACACTGTGCACCCTTGGGAAGGGTCAAACCGGGGCAATGGGACTTTAGGCCTGTCTCTCTAAAGTTTGGGGCGGGAGGGTGACCAGGGAGTTGCTTGTCCCTCCAGGACCCATTTAGGGGTCCTTCCGTCCTTACGCCCCACTAGTTTCATCCTCCAAGAACCCAAACAGGTTTGGAAAGTTCCTTCTCTTGATGAGGCAGAAAACCCTTGTTTTGACACTGACCCTGACCCTGTCCCGGCCCCCTTAGTGGGATCTTGAGTGGGGGTCCTTGGGCGGAGGTCCTTCTCCTCTCTGGACCTTGGATTCCTCATTGTAAGGAGCGTCTCAGGTGAGAAGGACGTGAGGCGGTGGCAGTTCCCTGAGCACAGAGCCTTCCCTTCCTGGGATCCGCGGGGAGGCCAGGGGCCAGTGCCTGCTGCGTGGCCTCCGGGGGGCGCTGTTGAGAGCCAGGCACAAGGAGGCCTCTGACTGCAGGGAGGCAGCGCTGCATCTTTTGTCTCTGGTCTGTTTCCAAAAGGTCCTGCAGTCCCTCCATGGTCCATTCTGGAAAGTCCAGTCCTCTGGCCTGTCCTGAAGCAACTCTGAGGCAATCTGGATCCTCTGAACCCTTGATCCAATTCCAGGTGATCTGCAGCCAACTTGAACCCAGGAAGTCGACTCCTGGGGCCACCAGATAGTTAACAAAATCACGTCAGGAAGTGGCTACCATTTATTGGTCCCAGCCTCCATGCCAGGCACTACTAGGGACACTGATGTCCTCCTCACCACAACCCCGCGAGGTGGGTGGTGCTCTCCCCATTTTACAGATGAGGAAACTGAGTTCTGAGCCGTGGATCGGCTGCTTGAAGCTGCGCTGCTGCAACTTGTCGAGCCTGGACTTTGAGCCCAAATGGGCTGAGTCCAAGTCCCCAGAGCTGTGAAGTGAGTGCCATTTGCTTTGTGTCCTCTTCAGGGCCCAGAGAGTCCCAAGTTCCTTTCAAACCCTGTTCTCAGGTTGGAGCGTGAAACTCCTGCTTGCAAGAAGGGTTTCTGTGGCTCCGACCCGTTGGACCTGGAGGTTCCCTGGGGTAAAACCTCCAGCAGAGGAAAGAAGCTGGAAAGGTGCGGCTCCGGGAGGGAGCCCCACGGGGGAGTGAGCCCCAGGCCGCCCTTCCCTGTAGTCTGCCACTGGGCTAGACTGCCCCTGCCTCTGGTCTTGGCAGAAGTCTAAGTTTTCTGGTTCCGCCCAGCCGATGGCCGCGGGCCCTTGTCCCTCCTCGGGCAATCACCGGGAACAGACGCCTCTCTGCACCCTCAGCTGCTCTGGCGGAGTCGTCCCCTCGTGGTCAGCTCCCGTGGGGGCCCTTGGCCTCCTCCTCTGGTTCTTTCCGGGGCACCCACCTGGGCTGGCTGCAGAGTGTGCGGCGGGCAGGGTGGGGGCTGACAGCCCAGGAGGTGTCGGGGTGGGGAGGAGAGGTCGCAGGCTGCTGGCCCCCTCAGGACTCCCACTGCACGGTCAGGGCCAGCTCCTTGAACAGCGAGCCCGGCTCCGAGGGCGGCTCCAGCTCTGAGGCCCCAGGGGCTGGGCTCTTGGCCTCCGCCTTGGACACCAGACCCTCATCCTTGGGACACACCAGGGACTCCAGCAGGCCCCAGGGACTTGGCTCCTGGTCTGAGGGGGAGCAGGAGAGGGCAGGAGTGTGCAAAGAGAGCGACCCCGGGTGGCCTTCGATCTGGACGGAGGAGAGGAGGGACAGCTGGCCTCCCAGGTACTGCGGGGTCCCCGGCTCCCTGTTCAGGCCGGGTGCCCCGTCCACACAGAGCTCCTCCAGGGCCATGGAGGCCACCCCCTGCAGAGACAGGTCACCTGGAAGGCAGCTCCCCGCTGGCTCCTCTTTCTGGAGCTGCCCCTTCGGCCTGAGGTGCTTGGGCCCCGGGAGTGTCCCCGAGGGGGAGTCTTTTCCAGAGCTGTCCACGCACACCCCGTAGGAAGCAGCCAAGCTGTCCAGGGTGGCCTGGGGGGTGTAGGGCAGCGGCTGGGCCTTGGTGGCGGCCTGCGGAGCGTAGCTCGGGGCTTTAGCTTCAGAGGCCACCTGAGGTGTGTAGGCCGGGGGCCCGACCTCAGGGGTGGCCTTCGGGGTGCAGGACGGTGGGGAGACAGCCTGGCGAGGAGACGCGTGGCGGGGCTGGAGGACGGAGATGTCTGGCTGCCCCAAGTAGGAGATCTCAGGGAGGCCGTGCAGCTGGGCGGCTCCTGGGGGCTCCCTGGACCCTGAGACCACCACCTGGGAGTACTGGACGGGCTGGGACAGGCCGCCGGGCCCGCCGAGCTCAAAGACGGGGACCAGCACGTGCTCCTGGATGAACCGCAGCGGCTGGAAGGTCAGGACGCGCTGGACGTTCTGTGCGGGGACAACAGCAGCCCACCTCTTAGGGCGGGGCCTCAGCCCCTGGTGCTGACCTGGGCAGCGGGGCCCCCGGGGGAGTCGTGGGGACCCTTCCAGCTGCGGATACCTCCCTCCCACCCCCACTTCCCCGAGACCCCGCTGAGTTCTGGGGCCCAGCGCCTCCAAGGAGGGACGGGGCTCCCAGCCTGTGTCGGGGGCCACGTCTAAAGTCCAGGTAACTCCTGGACACAGACCTGGGCTCTGGCTTCTCCGGGGGAGATAATCCAGGAAGCTCGGGCCCCGGATGTGGTGTCCCAGCTGCCCCAGGCCCCTGGCAGCTTGTGACCGCAGGGTCAAGGTGGGCAAGGGTCAAGGTGGGCAAGGGTCAAGGTGGGCAAGGGTCAAGGTGGGCAAGGGTCAAGGTGGGCAGGGTGGGAAACGGGAGGCCAGGAGAGGCTTATGGACATGGTCCATCTGGCAAAATGCCCTCAGGGTGCCCCGGTCCCCCCAAGAGCCCCAGATGGCTCTGCGGGGGCTCTGCAGTGGCCTCGCTGTTAGGGCTGAGGGGCGGCCCTGCTGCCGGGTGGGGGCTGCAGGTGGGACTCGTGGTCTGACTCACCCACGGCTGTACATTTTTAAAAACTCGCTGCCAATATTTGAAAATTAGGAGATTACATATTATAATCCTATAATAAATAAGTTTATAATCATATTATAAATTCTGATTTCTCTTTTTTTAAAAAAAAGTAAAGATGGGGCCATTACCAGCCTGTGACCCCCTGGGACAGCACTTGGCTGCCCATTTCCAGAGGCCGGAGCTCCACAGCCCCCTCAGGCTGGCCGCTGCTCAGTCCCTACGTCACCTACCCAGGCCTGGAGGCTCTCTAGGCTGCGTCACCGTTCCTGGTCACCTGCTGCCCCATCCTGACCTCCAGTCGGCAGGGCGGGAGGCCCCCCCTCCCCTGCCGGGGACGCCTCGGGGAGAACCAGGGCTGCCCACGCCCTCTGGAGGTCTGGGACCCTCCCCTGGCTCTCTGGCCCCGGGTGGATGACTCACCAGGGAGTTGGGAGGCACCGGCAGCTTGGTGACGTATCTGTAGCTCAGGTAGCAGAGCATGGCCACCAAGAAGCCCATGGAGAAGAGGATGGCCCCCGAGAAGGAGTAGGCCCACGTCCGGTCTGGGGAGAGAGGGTGGGGGGCGTGAGGCTGGGATGCCACCAGGCCCGGCCCCAGCGAGGGCCCTGCAGCCCCCGGGCCAGGCGGGAAGGCCTCTGCCACCTTCCCTATCCACAGGCCTGGGGCCAGATCCCAGGCGGAAGGCCAGAGGCCACACTCGCAGTGAGTTGAAGATGCTCTGTCTCCCACCTCCACACAGTTGCTCTTGAAGCAAACCAGGTTTCAAGTCAGGATTCTTGGCCTCCGATGGATGCTGACTCACGCGCAGGTGAAAGGCCTCCCCCCGCAAACCCCCGGCCTGGCCAGCTCGTCACAACTGCCAGTGGCCTCGGGCACACGTCTGTGGGTGGCCAAGCTCATCCGTGTCCCCACAAGTGGTCACCTTTAGGCCAAGGGCCTGCCCACGAGCAAGTGTCTGCCCTCCCCAGGAAAGGACCCAAGGGAGGGGTCTGCGGGACAGCATGCAGGCCCGGGCCACGTGGGCAGGCAGTCCAGGGTCCCAGGAGCCCAGGTGGGATCTGGAAGGGAGACCACAGGAGGCAGAGGACCTGTCCCGTGGGCTGTCTGGCCTCTTTCTCTGGTGGGCAGGGCCACGGCTGGGGGTGGGCCCCAGAGCAGGGCCATGGAGAGGGCAAGGGGCGGGGGCCCTCCTGCCTCCCTGTAGGAAACAGAAGCAGAGGGAGGCGAGAAGGGACAACGGGAGGGCCTGTCCTCTCGGCCTCCTACCAAGGCCAGGGGCAGAGGCCGGGAAGAGTCTGCTCAGGAAGGGACCCTGGGGGAGCATCGCCCCCTGTACCAGGGGAGGAGAGGGACAGCTGGGGGCCCTGGTGGTGCGTCTGTGGCCTGGCATCTTTGGGTCAGGCTCATCAGCTCTTGGTGTGACGCCGCCTGCCCGCAGTCCTACCGGGACTTTGAAGGACCGAGGGAAGTAGAGGAGGTTGGAGGGTTCTCCAAACCAAACCTGCACCCCGCAGGGTCTTGACCCTCCAAGTCACCTCCCCTGTCTTCCTGACCCCGGGGCCTCAGCGTGGGCAGCTCAGGACCAGGCTCCCTGAGCCCAGCAGTCACAGTGCCCCTGGGGACCTCCGAACCTCCACTTCCAGCCCACTCCTCGCTCCTCCCAGGCTGGGTGGCTTGGGTCAGCTCCCCACTGCAATGACGCCCTGTCGCCTGTCACATGATACCCCCATTGCTGCTCCAGGGAGAAGACAGGACCTGGATGTCCCTACGTGACATACCTAATGTCATTGGAAACCCCTGCTTAGCGTCCCGGGGACATTCCCTGGCCTGATACATTTTCCACGTGCCATTTCACCTACGGGGAGGCAGGATGGAGTCAACACCAGCCTGGGAGTGAGGAATGTGGGGTGTCAGAGGTCTGGCTCAGCCACTGATATGCTGAGCTGCCTCTCTGCTACACCACCCTCTCTGGTCTACCATTTACTGATCACAGTTGCCAGCGGCACTTGAACTCTCCCGTGGGCCATGCATTATGCTGGGAACTCTCCCTGTGTTCTGCCAGAAAATCGTTATAGCAACATAGAGGGATACGGGTACCCTCTTCCTCCAGATAACAACGCTGAGTCTCAGAAAGGTTGAGTGACTTGCCCCAGATCACACAGCTCCTCAGTGGGGAAGCCAGGAGGGACTCGTCCATATCTACAGCTCACCCTCACATCCGTGACACAATCATGCCTCGGTTTCCTCACCTGTAAAGTTAAGATCTGCGGTGAGACGAACCTGAGAGGTTCGTCTAAGACGAACTAAGGTGCTGGGATCAGGCTCTGTGACCCCCACAGAGATCCCGAGAAGAGATACAGTGGCGATTCTGGGCTCTGGGGTCAAGCAGACTCTAGGATACAGGGTCAAAAGCAAGGTGTATGACTTTGAAGTGGAAGTCAGAGGAATAGGTGTGCAGTCGAGGGGACCAGTCATAAACCAAGTTCAAGGTGGGGGTTAGAGCCCAGGCTTCTGATGAATCTATCTAGGTTCACCAAGCAGCTGTGTGGTCATGAACCAGCCACTGAACCTCTCTGAGCCAGAGATCCTCCTCTATGCACTGGGAATGGTCCTGCCCAACTGGCAGGATTATTTTAAAGATCCGATCCTGTATGCAAAGCATTTGACACAACCCGAGGTAATAGAGCAGTACCGAATAAATGTCACTGAGCCATGTCCCCAACCCACCACAGTGTTAGAGAAAAATTGATGTCACGAGAGAGATCCTGTAAGGACAGGCCAACAGAAAGGTGAGTTTGCCTGTTTTCAAAACCCAGGGCAGGGCCGGGGTGGGCCCGGGGCGGACGTGGTGTGTGTCTAGTACGGTCAGGGGGGAGCGTCTCTGTCACACGTGCCCCCCTCCAGATTGGTGCCCATAAAGTCGGTTTCCGTTTTTTAGATTCTTTTTGCCAAGGTCCATTCCGGTCTCCCTGGGACCCTTGCCCAAGAAGGACATGCCCCGTGCTGGCCAGAGCTGGCTGACCCCCCAGGATCGCTCCTCTGCAAAGGATTCAGGTGGAGGAACCAGGCTCCGGGAGATCTAGGGAAATGGACGAATTGAGCTTCCAAACACAGCTGCCTCCGAGGGCCATGCACTTTGTCCAGCTCTCAAACTGAACTCTGCCTGAAGGTTGGCACCGTGGGAACAGAAATCACCTACTAACACGAATCTGAAGGGGATGGTCAGGTGAGGGCGGTTTTTCCCAATCCATCCCTTTCATGATCTCTCCTTGCAGCTCAAAGCCACGTTTCCACCGGCTTCACCATCCCTCTCCACCAGCTGGGCAAGTTACCGAACCACCCTGAACCTCAGTTTCCTCTTCTGTAAAATGAGAATGATGACGGGACCTGCCTCAGACAGCTGGGAGGGCTGCACTTACTAGTGCCTGGTCCCTGGCTAAGGCTGAAGAAATGCCAGCCAGCCTTCACCATCGTCATCCTTATTCTTTGGTTTGGGGAGATACTAGAGGATCCTTTTGGCTTCTCTTTCCTCCCCCCGCAGACTTTCCCCCAGTGTCACCTGGGTTGGTATCAAGGGGAGTCTTTCTTGCCAGGTACTCAAACTGGTGGAGAGAGGAGATCCAGACCCAGGCTGGAGGGAGGGATCGGACATTCGCTATGAAAATCCCCCCGTGGACTCAGCCAGGAACCAGCAAAGACGGGCCTTGACAGTACACTAAGAACCCCCGGGGTTCTCCGAGCTCCGCGAACCTGGCCCTGGGGGCAGGCAGGGAGAGGTGGGTTCAGAGGAGAATTCAGGATCCCCCTCCTCTGGCTCCTACTCACCGGGCAGCGTCTTCACGCGGCACACATAGGGGGCGCTCTCCTTGGACCAGGTGGGAATCAAAATCATGGTGGTCCCCAGGAACTCGGTGTCCGGGGTCAGGCCCGAGAACTCGTATTCTCTCTGCTGTCCTTCCAGGTGCTGCGACCCACAGAGACCCACAGTGACTCCGCCTGCAGCCAGCCTCCCCCGGAGCCCCGCCCACCGCCCAGACCAGACACCCCTGGACCCGCCTGCAGCTCTTCATTCCTCTCTCCCCCTTCTTTCTTCTCAAATCCAACCAGTCGCCAAGCTCTGCATACCTTTTGCTTCGATCCGGTCTGGCACTTGCCCGCAGCCTGTAAATACCAGCTGCTGCTAAGAGACCACATCCCCATTGTCCCTGCTCCCCTCCACCACCGTCTTCCAGCTCTCCTCTCCCTTCTTTATCAAACATCAGAAAGCCTTTGAGTAACCACCCTCCCCTGCCTTCCTCTTGGCTTCTGTCTGGATTGGGCCTCCAGCCTCCAGCCTTCAGCCTCCAGCCGCCTCCAGCCTGGACAATTGCTGTGGCTTCCGTACCAGTTGCTTCTCTCTGGTTTTGCCCCTGTCCATTTCCCATATCCATCTCAGAGCTGCCATGATCTCTCTAAAAGATTAATGTAATGACAATGCTCCTTTTTTTCCAAATGCTTTGGTATCAGGGGTTCACTGTATGCTTCAAATACAGCCCTTGCTGCTCTACCACTGGGACTTATTTTTTTTTTTTTAATGGATTTAACTTAAATTCTCAGTCTATACCCAAAGGACTCAGAATCAGCAAACTACAGTGACGCAGCCACATCCATGTTATACCAGCTCAATTCACAACAGCTAAACGGTGGAACCCACCTAGATGCTCTTCAATAGATACACAATGGAATATTACTCAGCCTTAAAGAAGAATGCAGTTAAGTCATTTGCAGGTAAATGGATGGAGTTGGAGAATATTATGCTAAGCAAAATAAGTCAATCCCCAACAAACTGCAGGTCAAATGTTTTCTCTGATAAGTGGATGCTGATCCATAGTGGGGGTGGGAGCCAGGGAAGAATGGAGGAACTTTGGATTGAGCCGAGAGGAGGGAGGGAAAGAGGGGAGTGTGGGGGTGGAAAAGATGTGGAACGCGATGGACATTATTACTCTATGTACGGGTGTGATGGCATGGGAGGTGCGACACCAGATCATGTACAACCAGAGAAATGAAAGGTTGTGCTCCAATTGTCTACAACGAGCCGAAATGCATTCTGCCGTCGTGTGTAACTAATTAGAACAAATAAAAAAAATTTTAAAAAACGGACACACGTTCACTTCTTTTCCACTCCCCCTCCTCCTCCCCAATCTCTCCCTCTGCCTAACCTCGGGGGAAGCAGAATTTCCTTTCTTCCCCATCCTAGGCAGAGTTATCCGTCTTTGAACACATTGTCTATGGTTCTAATGGTTTATACCTTCTATCCGTCTAACCCTCCCCCAAACAACTATAATTGTGACTAAAATGAAAAAATAAAAAAACTCCATAAAAACACTGGAGAGTAAATACAGCAGGTCGATAATGGAGAGAGGAAGAAGGTTGGCACGGGGTGATTTTTTTTTTTTTTTTTACATCTTTTATCGTGAAGGAAGACCCCAGTCTACACCTCGTGGGGTGACTAAAACCTAGATAGAGACCCTGTCTGTCATCTTTTTTTTAATATTTATTTTTTAGGTGTAGATGGACCAACACAATGCCTTTATTTTTATGTGGTGCAGAGGATCGAACCCGGGTCCCACCTGTGCTAGGCGAGCACTCTACCACTGAGCCACAACCCCAGCCCCCTGTCTGTCATCTTGCTGGCTTGAATAATCCGAGGATAGAATTTGATGAGACAAATGGATCTCTCTTGATCCAAAGAGAGGGAGGCCCAGCTTCTGTGTATGAACTTTGCTCAAAGCCACGGCTGGCCCCAGATTGTGCTTGGACGGGCAGCCTCCAAATGGCACAGATGAAAGAAAGAAAGAAAGGGAGAAAGGAAGGAAGGAAGGAAGGAAGGAAGGAAGGAAGGAAGGAAGGAAGGAAGGAAGGAAGGAAGGAAGGAAAGTGATCTGAGATTCTA